GGTGTCAACAGGAGCCAGAATGAGGCTTTTCATGAAGCCCATTAAACTCCTCAGAAAATTAATTTAGGATCATAGTGAAGAAATGTGAATATGTCTTTTAAAAGGTACAGGTTGAGTGTCCTTTTTCTGGAATTCTGAAATCCAAAATATTCCAAAAACCAAACCATTTTTCATGGGTAGGTAAGCTAGTGACACCTTTCCTTTCTGATGGTTCAATGTACACAGACTTTATTTTATACACATAATTATTAAAAACATTGTAAAATGTAAAAGCTTCAGGCTATGAGTATAAGATGCATATAAACATAAATGAATTTTATGTTTAGACTTGGGTCCCATCTCCAAGATAATCTCATCATGTGCATTTATGAAAATATAGGTATTCCAAAATCCTAAAAAAAATCCAAAATCCCAAACACTTCCAGACCCAAGCATTTCAGATAAAAGATACTCAACCTGTAATTAATTTTGCAACAGATGACTCCATAGGTGATAAGACTAGCCTGAAACTGAGGAGAACAACCCAATAAGCAGTCGGAAATATTGCCGTGGGGCTCATGCAGGAATGCCTCCTGACAGAACCTACTCTTCCTTTTGCACAACACAAAATGCCAGGCAGAGACCTCCCTTTCATAAAATGTGTTTTATTACTCATACTGAGAGAACATCATTGTCAGTACTTGACGATAGCTCAGCACTATCACAGGTTACCATTACAACGTAATCAAACGCCTTATTACAATTATAATTTGCAATCTATGAACTCCCATGCCGTGGAGATTTTCAAAACATGATTCCAGCAGAAGAGGGGGAAGACAGATGACCCTTTCCACAACATAATTCTGGCAATAAATTAAACCAACACCCTCATGATTATGCAAAGGAAAACACAGTATTTAGAAGAACACAGCAGGCAGCCAAGGCGAACTCCAAGAAGCAGCTGGAAGCATGGTAAACATTCAAATCAGAAATTTTCTCCCCTCTTAAGGTCAGTGGAAGTACTGGGCCTTGCCTTCCTTCAATCATTGGTAAGTGAGTTTTACTAGCTGCCCTTGGAAGTGCAATTTCTACTGCAGGAAGATACAGGTCTTGGCTATGTTGATTCAGCTGAGATGTCCACCAGTCATGATTTGGCCCTTCTGGATTTGCTTGCTTTCTCCGTCTGCCCTGGAAATGGGCTGCCAGGTAGCTCTTGAATGAAACACCCCGTTCAGCTGCTGGAATTGGAGTTGATGGATTGACACTGGATGTAGACGCTTTATCCTCCGCGGCCAGCCATGCTCTGCAAGAGAAAGGAAAGCAGGAAAATAAAACTATGAAGCAGAACTGCATTCAGAAAACATATGGAGAAAGGAACTACAAAGATTTCCAGTCCAACACTACCCCCAAAAGCAGAACAATCACGCACCAAAACATTCCCCTGCTTCTGACTCAATCCACACAAACCCGGCTCAGTGCCATAGCAAAAGCAGAACACTAGTGCCCAACAGGATAGTGTCTGCATTGGGGGGTGGGGGGAGAGGAGATCTAGATGGTTCAAGTCAAAAGAATGGGCTGCCAATATACAGAAGGTTTTCTAGCCTCTGAGATAACAAATACAGAAAATATCAGGACAATGCTGTCCTTTGTGGACCTCCTCTCAGCACCACCATACCTATGTATCCTATGTGGTGGTGGTGGTGGTGGTGGTGGTGATTATTATTATCATTATTATTCCCACCCAATATCCAAGGATCTCAAGGTATTGTACATTAAAATTCATTTAGAACAGTTTAAAACAAAAATAATATTTTTAAAAGACTAAAAACACAAGACACCAGATCTTCTCTGATCTTGGAAGGTAAGCATGGACAGGCCTGCTTAGTGCTTTGATGGGAGTCTGCCAATGAATGCCAGGTACTCTAGGCTTTATTTCAGAGGAAGGAATTGGCAAAACCACCTCTTGAATATTCCTTGCCCAAGAAATCCCTATGAAGTCGTTGGCTTCCATGGTTGGCATCCATAGTTTTTTGTGGGTTTTTTGGGCTTTGTGGCCATGTTCTAGAAGAGTTTCTTTCTGACGTTTTGCCAGCATCTGTGGCTGGCATCTTCAGAGAATTTCACAGATGCTGGCGAAACGTCAGAAAAAAACTCTTCTAGAACATGGCCACAAAGCCCAAAAAACCCACAAAAAACTATAAATCCCTATGAAATTCATGGGGTTGCCATGAGACGACAGGCAACTTGAAAGCACGCACACATACACAACAAATCCTTTGATATTTAAAAACAAGAAAATTTAAAAGCAACTAAAACAATTCAAAATAATGTAAACCACAAGACATGTGCAAACAGCCCCCTAAAGTTTTAATAAAAAGCTATGTTTTGACTCGTCATTGGAATGACGTTGGTTGTCCATATATTAAAGACTGCAGGAGGCAAGACAACTAACATGCAGTGGGGAAAGAAGCCATGTTCTTGGGCTCTCCCTGCATGAGGAATGAATGGCTTTGAATTCTAGTTTCCTGCACAACCCTTTAACTCCTAATGGCCTTGTAGAAACAAAAGGGAAACACAAAATGACTGGACTCGAAATGGTAGAAATAGTCCAAATAGGATCTGTTCGGAGCCTGGGAAAAAATTTGGACTACAACTCCCAGAATCCTCCAGCCAGAATGGCTACTGGCCAATACTAGCTGGGGTATTCTGTATGTTGCAGTCTTTTTTTGTTTTTGCAAACTCTGGTTCAGCCCTCCTTACCTACCTCAAGATCCTTCCACAGTGCCTCTGAAAATTTTTGGACTACAACTCCCAGAATCCTCCAGCCAGAATGGCTACTGGCCAATACTAGCTGGGGTATTCTGTATGTTGCAGTCTTCTTTGTTTTTGCAAACTCTGGTTCAGCCCTCCTTACCTACCTCAAGATCCTTACAGTGCCTCTGAATATCCCCCCATCTTTCAAACCATAAATCATAGAATCATAGAGTTGGAAGAGACCACAAGGGCCATCC